TTATGACTTTGCCTCACCCAAGCAAGTGTTAGAGGCATGCCCCTCCCCGCCCCCCCAAGCCCCTAGTCCCTGGAGAATGTCACTACCATGTGAACACCATAGTGTTGATCAGTCAGTGCCAATTTGATGGCGAGTACATGTGGAGCCTATTCTTCCCATATTGTGATGCCTCACTTTGGATAATGGGCTCAAGCTCAATCCAGGAAAATATAGGAGGTGTTAGCTCACTGTCATTTCTTATAATTAAGTAATATTCCATTGTATACATATACCAAATTTTAATAATCCACTCGTGACTTGACGGGCACTTGGGTTGTTTCCACATCCTTGCAATAGTGAATTGTGCTGCCATAAACATTTGGGTGCAGATGTCTTTATTATAGAATGTCTTTTGCTCTTTTGGGTAGATGCCTAATAGTGCTATTGCTGGATCGAATGGTATTTCTATTTTTAGCTTTTTGAGGTATCTCCAAATTCTTTTCCACAGAGGTTGCACTAATTTGCAGTTCCATCAGCAGTGTAAGAGTGTTCCCATCTCTTGATCAAATTTTAATAGATTTAGATTTCTTTTTGTTCTTATAAGAATACAAGTTCTGAAACCAAAGTGTAGAGATAAAAGTTTCCCCAATTTCATACAAACACCTGTTCTGAGTTAAAGCTTTAAAAAATAAACCTAGTCAAAACAAGAATGTACAAATGTATCCCTAATTAAGGGTTGATTAGGTAAAAAGTAATTGGTAAGAGTTCATAGTATACAGAGAAATAAAGAAAAGTTGAGGGCCGGGCGAGGTGGCTCACGCCTTTAATCCTAGCTCTCTGGGAGGCCGAGGGTGGGCAGATTGCTCAAGGTCAGGAGTTCAAACCAGCCTGAGCAAGAGCAAGACCCTGTCTCTACTATAAATAGAAAGAAATTAATTGGCAACTGATATATATATAAATTAGCCGGGCATGGTGGTGCGTGCCTGTAGTCCCAGCTACTCGGGAGGCTGAGGCAGGAGGATCGCTTGAGCCCAGGACTTTGAGGTTGCTGTGAGCTAGGCTGATGCCACGCACCACTCTTAGCCTGGGCACAAAGCGAGACTCTGTCTCAAAAAAAAAAAAAGTTGAGGAGTAAAGATTAGAGGGCCAAGCGGTGAGCAAGGTAGTTTTGGCAGAGCTGAATGCTTGTTGGATGAGGTTAGTACCAACCTGTCACTAAAAGATCCACAATATTTAAAATTTGACAGTTAAGAAACAAATGCTCGGCAGGGTGTGGTGGCTCACGCCTGTAATCCTAGCACTCTGGAGGCCAAAGGCGGGTGGAAACTCAGGTCAGAGTTCAAAACCGGCCTTAGCAAGAGCGAGACCCCATCTCTACTAAAAATAGAAAGAAATTAATGGCCAACTAAAAATTTATATGGAAAAAATTAGCCGGGCATGGTGGCACATGCCTGTAGGCCTAGCTACTTGGGAGGCTGAGGCAGGAGGATCACTTGAGCCCGGGAGTTTGAGGTTGCTGTGAGTTAGGCTGACGCCACGACACTCTAGCCAGCAAAAGTGAGACTCTGCCTCAAAAAAAAAAAAAGAAACAAATGCTCATCATTTAAAGGCTTTTGAGAGACGTCAAGCAATAAGACTATAAAATGCAGGAAGGGTATGGAAAAATTGAGATGAATTAATTGTCATTAGAATGGAAACAAATGTTTGGCTTGGAAAGACAAATACCAATTTTGTGCAATATTTCACATAATAAAATAAGCACTGTGATACACTGATCCAGTTTCACAACCTTGATTAACTTTTGTTTTTAGATAACTTCTAATTTTCTATCTCCACCTGTGGCTCCTCAGGTAACCAAGAGCCTAACATTTAAAATTGTGTACTAGAAATTTAAATACCCCTCAAATTTAAGTTATAAAAATTTACCATTTTTTTTTCTCCAAATGATTTATTCTAGACTTCATGTCACTTTCCCTTTCTGGAGGTAAAATCTTGTGTCATCTTTAACATATTCTAGTGCTTTATCAATATAGTTAATTAATTACCAAATTATGACTAATATTCTACTCTTATGCATTTTCTGAAATTCTTCACTTTCTTTCCATTTTTGCTACCGTCACCAGAATCCTGTCACTCCATTGCCACGGATTATAATAGCCTCTTTGCTAATTGGTTCTCCCCCTTTTTGTTCTTTTTCCTTTCAACTAGTATCACGCACACTGTAAGAAGATATATCTTCCTTTGTCCTACAAGTCCTCATGCTAGTAATTTCCACAGGACAAAATCAGAATCCTTTGGCCCTAAAGGTTTATACAATTTGGATTCCTCTGCTCTGTCTACCCTTCCAGATGTGGCTGTCTTTGATCCCCCTTGTTTGTATTCATTCAGTTACTCAACAAATATTATCTATAATGCTAGGCACTGTGTTTTGTCCTGGGTTATAAAAAGCAACAAATAATATGGTCCCAGACCACAACATGCTCATGAATAGAGTTAAAAAGACTGACAAGTAATGATAAAAATATACTTTGAATGTAGGATCATGGTCAGGTTGGCCATGAAAGACTTCAATGAACAGGAAATGACAAGAGTGACAGGATTGAGTGGAAGCCTCGGTAGACCTATGGTGGACTTTTCAGGCAAAAGAACAGCAAGTGCAAAGACATGATGGCATGAAAAAGTCTCATGTGTTCGTAGAGCTCTGAGCAGTTTGAAATGGCTGGAACATAGGTTACATGTTGGAGAGTGAGAAGAGATGGAGGAGAAGTTGACCTAACACAGGGTCAAAGGCAATTTATTTATAGAAACACGAGGAGAAGATTGAGTGTGGTAAATAGATGAAGAGAAGTTCATAAATGTGATGGAAGAATTGTAAATATTATTCTTTGATACCTTTTATTTTCTCATGGGGATAGGGAGGTTATCAGTTAATGGCGAGGAAGAGGCGGATCATGCTGAAGATTTGAGGATAAAAAGTATGAAATCATTTTCTAGGAGAATGATGAAACCTCAGTAAAGCATGGATTAAAAAAAAGAATGCTCTGAAAGAATCAACCCAATTTATTATCATCTATGATCCAATACATCATATACTCTGCATCCAGATGCTACTTCTAATCTGAAAAATCTGTCAATATTCCCTGGGAGATTAAAATTTTTCAAAACTTTCTCAGGAAGACAGTGTATAGCTTAGTGAGAATCTGCATTACCAGGATTGTTAAAGTGCAAATTCCCAGGCCCGTCTAGGAATTCAAAATTACTAGATCTGGAATAGAATCCCACAATCTGCATATTTAACAAGCACCCCCAAGTGATTCTGACTTAGATCACCCTCTAATCACACTTGAAAGAGCCCCAACATAAAACAAAATCTTAACACCTTTGTGTGGTATCAAGGCCCCTCTATTTGTATCAGTCAGAGTTTTCCAGAGAAACAGCACTGAAAGGAGATATGCATACATGTATATGTACACACACACACACACACACACACACACACACAGAGGTTTATTGGCTCACATAATTGGGGAGTTGAGAAGTCTGAAATTCACAGGACAGGCCAGCAGGCTGGAAACTGAGGCAGGATTTCTATGTTATACCCTCAAGGCAGAATTTCTTCTTCTCCCAGAAACGTTAGCTTTTGCTTTTAAGGCCTTCAACTGATCGATTGGATGAGGCCTATGTGTATAGTAACAAAAGCAATCGCCTTTACTTAAAGTTAACTGATTATAAATGTTAATCACAGCTATAGAATACCTTCACAGCAACATCTAGACTAGCGTTTGACCAAAACAGCTCGGCACCATAGCCTGGCCAAAGGTGACACAAAATGAACGATCACATCCTCCAATTTCATCTTTGGACAACTCATGACTCTCAGTTTGCTGCAATAAGATTGAATTGCTGTTGGTTCTTGGAGCACTGCGTATTGGTCCCTCTGCCCAGTCTGTCTCTCCTCATGCTTCTTTGTCTGGGAAACTCCCACGAATCCTTTTCTCAATTTGAGTTGAGGCTTTCAATACATATCTGTTGCCTAACCAAGACACAGTGAAAATACCTGACTTATTGCAGATTCATGACAGCATGCTTTTCTACAAAAGATTTCTTTGAACCACAGTAATAAACAAACTATAATAGTAAGAGAGATGTACAGTGCTCCAACCCAATAGAGCACTTCATATTTGTGTTCTTTGCTTATAATAAGGACATAATAAATAACATAGGATCATGACCACACTTTAACAAAAGAATATGAGGGCCGGGCGTGGTGGCTCACGCATGTAATCCTAGCACTCTGGGAGGCTGAGGCGGGTGGATTGTTTGAGCTCAGGAGTTCAAGACCAGCCTGACCAAGGGTGAGACCCTGTCTCTACCATAAAAAAATAGAAAGAAGTTAATTGGATAGCTAAAAATATACAGAAAAAATTAGCTGGGCATGGTGGAGCATGCCTGTAGTCCCAGCTACTAGGGAGGCTGAGGCAGAAGGATTGATTGAACCCAGGAGTTTGAGGTTGCTGTGAGCTAGGCTGACGCCATGGCACTCTAGCCCGGGCAACAAAGTGAAACTCTGTCTCAAAAAAAAACAACAAAAAAAATGAATATGGGTTTAGGGATAAGGAACTTCTGAGACATTTCCCTACCCCATGTCTCCCCGTGACTTGAAAAGATCTTCACTTATTGATACTGACTCTATTTCTATCCATTGATCATGGGAGGGAGCTAGATACAAGTACAGATAACTTGGCACCAACCGTCATACTCCTAAAAATAATTTCATAACTCAGATCTAGAGAGCTTCAATCAATAGCTTAAAGGGAAGCCCATAGTTTTGTTTTGTTTTCTCCTTCCCTTCCTCTCTCCTTCCCTCCCTCCCTTTCTCACTTCCTTCTTAAAAATGTCTTTTGCTACTACTATGCCTAAATTGTGGAGCTTCTAGGGGTTAGCAAGAGAAAAGAAATACAGCTTTAAAATGAGTATGGTTTTTCTGATATATCCTTCATATTCATGTCCTTTACTTGCAGGCCGGTCGTAACCTCCCCCCGCACATCCATCCCACTGTGGATGATCGCCCTGATTGTGTTTGGAGTGCTGGCGATCCTTGGAGTAACTATTGGTCTCCTGGTTCACTTTCTAGCAGTAGGTTGGTAAAGAATATATTTTATTTATTTCATTGCATTGCAATATTTATTTACATTTTTACAAAAGATAAAGAATTGTGAGCAATGAATGATCTCCTTTTAAAAGGCATCTGTGGCCATGCATGATGGCTCACACCTGTAATCCTAGCACTCTGGGAGGCTGAGGTAGGCAGATCGTTTGAGCTTAGGAGTTCGACACCAGCCTGAGCAAGAATGAGATCCTGTCTCTACTAGAAATAGAAAGAAATTAGCTGGACAACTACAAATATATAGAAAATTTTAGCCAGGCCTGGTGGCGCATGCCTGTAGTCCCAGCTACTCAGGAGGCTGAGGCAGGAGGATCGCTTGAGCCCAGGAGTTTGAGGTGGTTGTGAGCGAGGCTGACGCCAGGGCACTCTAGCCCGGGCAACAGAGGGAGACTCTGTCTCAAAAACAAACACACAAACAAACAAAACCAAATAAAATGGCATCAGCCATCTCAGATTCCAGGAATAAGCATTCTTAGCATGTGCCAAACGCTGTATTGCAGACATCTTTTTGAATATACACAGGTAAAAGAATGGATATCCATACAGAGACAGGAATGTGTAGACAATTGATAGGTGGAAGAGGTTATTCTACCAAGATGATCTACACGTGTTATAAAATATTATAATTATTCTACGTGTAAAGAGAAACCAATGAATATTAAATTAATATTTTGACTAGTTTCTTTACCACAAAGACATGAAGATAGAAAAATCTCTTCAACATAGATTTTAAAAAGACTTTGAAAAATGTAAGGAAAGTTGCAGTCGTTTTTTTAAAAACTATATATTTTAACTTTAGACAGTATATCATTTATACCTTACTGTGAAAGACAAGAAAATTAACATACTTATACTTCTTATTTTCCTCCTAGTCAGCCATCTTGCCCCACTCCCTTTGATCTTATTTTTTACAAAAATCTTCTCTGAGGATAATAATGTTTAAAAATTTTTCTTACTGCTTTTACTTATCTGCTTATTTTGGTTGTATTTCATATTGGATAGTTTTTTTAAAATATATGTTAATCCTTTGGTGTCTGCTTGAGGCTTATCCATGTTGCTGAAAATGACAGGATTTCATTTGTTTTAATGGCAGAATAGTGTCCATTGTGTATACACACCATATTTTCTTTATCCATTCATCTACTAATGGACACTTAGGTTGATGCCATATCTCAACTATTGTGAATAATGCTTCAATAAACATGGGAGTGGAGATGTTTCTTTGACATTGTGATTTCTTATTCTTCAGAGATACACACAAACACACACAGTAGAATTGCTGGACTCTGGTAGTTTTATTTCCAACCTTTCGAGAAACTTCCATAATGTTTTCCATAACGTCTATATTAATTTACATTCCCATGAACAGTGTCTAAGAGTGCCCTTTTCTCCACATATTTTCCAGCATTAGTTATTTTTGTCTTTTTGATAATTGCCATTCTAACTTGGGTGGGATGATATCTCACTGTGATTTTGATATGCATTTTTTTTTTTTTTGAGACAGAGTCTCACTTTGTTGCCCAGGCTAGAGTGAGTGCCGTGGCATCAGCCTAGCTCACAGCAACCTCAAACTCCTGGGCTCAAGCCATCCTCCTGCCTCGGCCTCCTGAGTAGCTGGGACTACAGGCATGCGCCACCATGCCTGGCTCATTTTTTCTATACATATTAGTTGGCCAATTAATTTCTTTCTACTTATAGTAGAGACGGGGTCTCGCTCTTGCTCAGGCTGGTTTCGAACTCCTGACCTTGAGCAATCCACCTGTCTCGGCCTCCCAGAGTGCTAGGATTATAGTGCGAGCCACTGCGCCTGGCCCATTTTCTTGATAATTAGTAATGTTAAGCATTTTTTTCATATAGCTATTGGCCATTTGTATATTCTCTTGAAAGATTTCTATTTAGATCAATTGCCTATTTTTATATGGAATTATTTGGAGGGTTTTATTTTGTTGTTGTTGAATTGAATTCCTTGTATATTCCATATATTAATCCCCTGTCAGATGAATAGTTTGCAAATATTTCCTACCATTCTGCAGATTGTCTATTTATTCTTATAATATTTGTATATATATTCAATTATTTTTATTATTATTTTTTGAGACAGAGTCTCACTTTGTTGCCCAGGTTAGAGTGAGTGCCGTGGTGTCAGCCTAGCTCACAGCAACCTCAAACTCCCTGGGCTCAAGCAATCCTGCTGCCTCAGCCTCCTGAGTGGCTGGGACTACAGGCATGCGCTACCATGCCCAGCTAATTTTTTCTATATATATTAGTTGGCCAATTAATTTCTCTCTATTTATAGTAGAGATGGGGTCTCGCTCTTGCTCAGGCTGGTTTTGAACTCCTGACCTCGAGCAATGCACCCGCCTCGGCCTCCCA